ACGGTCACCCTTCCTCAGACCAACGTCCCCGGGCCCACGGGTGAACGGACAGGAGCCTTCACACTGGGAGAGGAGGGACTGGAGGGGCTTGCAGGAGTACAGCGAACACAGGAAAAGCAAAATTAGCAGGAAAAGTCTTCTGTTGTGGAAAACGAGGTGCCTGAACACTGACCTTCTGCCTTGCTGTCGTCTACCAGCGGGCAGGCTGTCCTCAGGGTGACCGTGCTCAGCTCTGAGTGTCTCCCTCGCGTATCCACCGCGTAGAGGGTAAACCTGGAAGGCAGGAAGGAAAAGGAAAATAAAGTCTTTATCTCTCAGTCCCACACCGACAGGTTGTTATGGGAACCGGCCTTCACAAGACGAAGGAAAAATGTGGTCCAGGCTCCTGTCAGTCAGTTTTGGCATCTCAAGGAGCTGTGAGATGATCTCGGGCTCAGACCAGGAGAGCACCCAGGGAAAGGAGCCAGGGCCGGGGGACAGGCCACCGCGTCCCCACACAGCATCTGCGGAGCGGAGCTGCCTCTCCCCGCGCCATCCCGGGGAGGTGGGGGCCTGTGCCCTGCAGCTGCCTGACTGCAAGAGGGTGCAGACGTCTCGGGGGTTGCTTCGCCAGGCACAGACGCAAACATTATAAAGCTGTGGTGTTTGCAAGCTGGGCTCCTCTCTGGCCCTCCTGAGAGCAGAGCATTAATTCCTGCCGTAAGCTGACCAGTGGCAGCTCGTACACATCCCGCGAACCATAGAATGATCTGGCTTTGGAGGCTGTTCCAGTGCCTCACCACCCTCATGGGGAAGAATTTCTTCCTAACATCTGATCTAAATCTGCCCTCTTTTAGTTTGCAGCCATTCCCCCTTGTCCTATCACTACACACCCTTGTGCAAAGCCCCTCTCCATCCTTCCTGTAGGCCCCTTCAGGTACTGCAAGGTTGCTCTAAGGTCACCCCGGCTGGCGAACGGCCCTTGAGGTTGTTTTCACCCTCATTTCCTCACCAGGGTGGGGCTGGTCAAAGGATGGGAATGATAATTTCACACTTGAAGCTAATGGAGACCATCTGACAGTAAAACACGGCTTTTGCGCCGGACACAGCACTGAATCAACAGGCTGTGGCTGCATGGGACGTCCCAGGATGCTGAGCGCAGGGTCCTGGTCAGAACAGCAAAGCTCCAAAATGCAAATGCTTCTTTGCAGCAGGGGCGACAATCTTCCGTCCACTCCCCCAAAAGGCATCGGTTCATATTTCTTCACTCCGAGCCAGGGATGGAAACTCGAGCTGGCTTTGACAAAGTGCAGGAGCTGGCGTGAACCCCTCGGAGGTCTGAGATGCCTGGTGGTGGGGTGCCCAGCTCCCGAGAAATAACCCAGCCCCGCTCCTTATCCTAAGGTAAAGCCGAGCAGCTCTCGCAACTGAGTACAAAGAGTACCATAAAAGCAGCTGAAGCTTAAATGGGATTGAGACCCTGAGGTATGTTTACTTAAGGAATAGTCCTACCTCCTTAGCATCCTTAATGGGCACAGAAGCAATGCCTCCCTTTTCCTCACCCCACGCACCAGCACCGCCAGCCCCCCTCTCCTGCCCGCGGGCCCTGCGCACCCCACACGTGGCTGATAAGAGCTGACGTTTGCACAGTAGCAATTCCCAGCACAGGACATCTTCTCTCCGAGCAATTAGCGTTAGTTCCTTAACAATACTTGCTGCCTAAAAGGCTGCCAGCAGCCTGCCAAGGAAGCCACTTGTGTGTAGGGCCAACTCCCATTTTCCCAAAGCTGGTGCATGCAGGGGACGCACACGCTGAGCTCACCCAAGGAGATGCTATTTAATTCTTTGGCATGACATCATTTTCCTTAATTTACAAGGAACGCTGCTCAGAGTGGGAGCACCTCCGGAAGGACGTCCGCACTGCGCAACTTCACAAGTACCACACACAGGCTGTTCTCCCGCTATAATTAAGGGACAGCCGCAGAGCAATAGGGTAACACCGAATTCGGGGCAGGAGTTGAACTTCAGGGCTTTGCAGCCCACCCTGGAGGTGCCACTGTCCCTCCTCCTCCCCTCAGCAGACAGGGGGGGTCCAGGCAAGTAAGGAGGCTCATTCTGCGAGCAGGTAAGGCACGTGTCCCTGCAGCCAGGCAGCACGGATTCCTCTTTTTCCAGGTCCAGAAACCAATGGGGGCATCCAGTGTTGGGTGGGGGGACCCTGGTCCCGGCGAGATGAGGAACTCTGCAGTGGGAGAGCTGGGCAGAGACCCCAGGAGCCTTGCTGCCCAGCCAGGTGCTCGGCAGCCGGCAACGCTCTTCTTGCTCATCAGCGTAAGCACAACAAGCAGTAAGAGGGCTTCACAAGCAGGTTACTGCTGCGAGCTGATCTCCATCCCCACCCTGGGGTCACCTGCTCAGCCACAGCGGCTGTCTTGTTGTGTTGTCTTTTTAAATGGGTGAGCACAGCTAATGTGTCACCTCTGCTCTGCCTGTAGCGGCTCAGTCAGTAAGGCTCCATTAGCTCTGAGGCAATCAGTGCCAGGGCACCTTCCTTGAAAAACAGCAGACTTTTATCAAAATGCAATTGTAATATTCAGCAATTAGTGCCCACGTCACCTATTCCATCGCCAGCGGGGTCAAGAGGAAGCATCTCTGCTTGGCAGGGTGTTCAAGCACATCCACCCCTTTGGGCGATGTTAAAGACCTGCGTTAGCCCTCTGACTGCTCTTTTCCCCTCTGCCCAGCAGACACAGAAACAAAGTCACTCAGCTGCCAAGAGCAAGAGCATCTGTACTGGTCAGGCCTTGGTTAAAAAACATATATCAACAAACAAGCCTTTCATTTCATCACTTTTTCAGATGATATAAGAAAAGAAAAACAAAATGGAAATGGGAAAACATCAGAATCAAAGTGATTTTGATCTGGTCAGAAATTCTTTTTTGAGAAAAAAAAAAATTGCTTTACCTCACTTGAAACCAGTCCTCTTTCAGGAACCTCAGAGGAAAGTTTTTCATTTCCATTCACTCTGAATGAGATGTTTTGGAATCAGCACCAATAAATGCAGCTCTGGTGGAAGCTGGCAGGCCCAGCACTACACAGCCCACTGCACCTCTCTAGCTCCTTCCAGCGAGCGATCTCAGAAGGTTTTAACATTAATTACGGTCCAGAAGATCACCCCGAAGCACAGCAGTATTAACAGCTCTGTTTTATCGATGGTAAGCAGGGACATACGGGGTGAAGCATCGTGGCCCAGAGAGGCTCGGCAACATGAACAGTTTGGGAACTCGGCAGATGATGGTTTCCAACCCTGTTCTCATACCATTGACCACCCAGCCTCTGTGGTACAAGGGCTACAAGGATGGTGAGGGGACTGGAGCATCTCTCCTACAAGGAGAAGCTGAGGGAGCTGGGCTTGTTCAGCCTGGAGAAGAGAAGGCTGAGAGGGGACCTAATATATACTTACAAATATCTGCAGAGTGGGTGCCAGGAGGATGGGGCCAAGCTCTTTTCAGTAGTGCCCAGCGACAGGATGACCCACAGAGGTCCCTTCCAACCCCTACCATTCTGTGATTCTGTGATTCTGTGGTAGAACCCCTTTACGGCCACTTCATGGCATTGAGCAGACTGCTGAGGTTTAGTTTTTTCTTTTATTCCTGGAAACAGACAATTAAGAGAAGACAGCGCAAAGATCTGTGGCTCAGTGTAAACCCGGCATTAACAGGCAAATCTTGCTTGCTGACTCTAAGAGGAACCTCAGGCAGATGCCGGCGAGGAGCCACTGGGCTGGCTGGGGAAAAAAAATGGCTGGGACCTGCCTGGGACCCAGCTGGGCAGCCGGCAGGAGCAGAGGGACCACTGCTGCACGGCAGGGACAGGGATGTCTGCACGGCAAATAAGGGGAAAACCGAAGCGAGCACGGCTGAGGGAGGGAGCTAGGCAGGGCACGAGGTGGGCTGGAATCCAGCTCTGCAACACCACATGGAGATCCTCTGACCATACTTACATCTACACACAGCGTTGTGGGCCAAGGACCACAACAGGCAGCAGCCCCACCCGCGACGATGGAGCTGCACTGGATTATGCCAACCCTCATATTATGCCAACCCTCATAATATGTTAAAAAAAAAAAAAGAGGCCAAAGAGTGGTTTTGAGAATTTTGCCCAAGGCAGAGGATGTCTGGGGTAAAGTCAAAGCCAGAAACGACAAGGTCCCAGACCCACACTCAGTGCATGAAACCATGTCAGACAACCTGGAATGCCATATGGTAGCTACGATCTGGCAGAGCCTCCTCCATAACCTGAAGGTGTTTTGTTTAGCAATAAACTTTCCCCATGATGTTTTCTCATGTTCTCCCTATGCTTTCCAAAGGAGCTTGGGGCTACCTGCTACCATCTCACAGCTGATCCTCTTTTTCATCCGTGCCCTCAGTAAGACCATACATAAACACTTGCTTTTCCAGAAATATGAAGATGCATTTTGCCCAAAGAGGTTCCAAAGAGCATTTCACCGCTGGAAGCACGTACGCTCTTGGCAGAGATCAGCCCCTCCATGCCTGGAAATGCTGCCACCTCTGCAGCAAAACACAGCATATGAAGTCCTATAAAGTAATGCCGCTTAAATGTTTACTACTAAAATCAAAGCTATTGGGACCCAAAGGAACTTTTAGAGAGATTGAAAGCAATTAACATGTGGCCTCACGAAATGTCAACACCACCTTCCTCGTAGATACCCCACCCAATGCTGGCTGGAGCCTGGATTTCATCACTAGGCTCACGATGCTTCTTGGGGGAGGAAGAGAAAGCGGAGGGGGGTGTTAAAGCTTTGGTTCCTGGAATCCGATGGTTGCGGAAGACTGTCGATTGTGTTTAAAAAAAATCAAAAAAACAGAACAATATGTTTCCATCCTTTCTCAATGCAGAGAAAAAAAGAGCCAAATCCCCAAAATTCTAAAGGCGCGAAACCGTAAGGCTGAGAATGATACCCCAGAATGTGTTATTTATTTATAGACAACAACGTCGGCTCATGTTTTTTTAAATCCCTCTCACGATGCTCATGATGTTTGAGTGCTTTGCTCATGATCCTCATTTGCAGGAAGAGAGATAAGGACTTCTGTGTCTGACGTTCCTCAGCTCGGCGGTGGATTTCTTTATACCCTACGGAGATACCAGATGCATTTCTGCTCTGTTTTGTGCTCTGCTCATCCCGAAGCCTTTGGGCTTGTGCAGCTGCTCAATGAGATGCCATACGACAAACGAGCTGCCTGGCTGCAGAGAAAAGGGGCCAATAAGGAGTC